TCGTCCGGTCACGTTTCCTCTCGGGTTCACCTGGCTGTCACGTCCTCACGCCACCTCTCTCTCAGTGACACCCGGGCTCCGCCCTTACAGGACCACTCCTCACTCGGCACTGTCGCTACACCATGGTGACAACCTCGAGGCCGTTCCACCTGTTTTATTGCCAGAAAGAGTAAAACCTATTATTTTTTCATAATATGCCACGCCATGTGTGTTGTGTAGCTGTGGCAGTGTTTATAAACCAACGTGATTGTCCAAAAACATTTGCCAATAATTTACACCGCGGGCCTTAAAATATATATTTATATTTTTAAACGGCCATTCATATCACGATATGATTAAGGGTCATTGCCCGAAACGTCGCCCAATATATAGGGGGTTGGGGGTTCTTTGGAGGCCGCGGGGTCACTGCTGGTCTCAGCTCCTCTCGGGAAGCCACAAGCACCATAAACAGTACAACACGAGGTACAGTACAACAACGTCCAGTACAACAACGTACAGTACAACACGAGGTACAGAACAACATCACTCTACTCATTCATCAATGCCGCTGTTGCGTTTCTTGTTATATGTGCTTTGCACCCCCGGTACGCGGGCAACGTTGGCTCAACGTTGGTTGACGTTGGGCTAACGTTGGCATGGCAACGTCAACGTTGGCTGACGTTGGGTTGGTTGAGGTCGGGCCACAATTGGCATGCCAACTCCAAACAACGTTGGTTCAACGTTGGTTTAACAGTGGCATGCCAACTTTGGCTGACTTTGGGTTGGTTGACGTTGGGCCAACGTTGGCATGCCAACGTCAAATAGCGTTGGCATGCCAACGCAGCATTGGCATGCCAACGCAGCATTGGCATGCCAACGCAGCATTGGCATGCCAACGCAGCATTGGCATGCCAACGCAGCATTGGCATGCCAACGCAGCATTGGCATGCCAACGCAGCATTGGCATGCCAACGCAGCATTGGCATGCCAACGCAGCATTGGCATGCCAACGCAGCATCACCAAATACGTTGCTTACTGTTGAGGTGCAATGTGGATGTGTACGGACCGCGTACGACCGCGTCTCAAGATGAAGCGCATATCTGGAGAGGGCACGCGCATCAGGATCATTCTGATATTCCACGAGCGCGTTGGCCAACAACCGGTCAAGCGAACAGAGACAATTCAAAATAAATTACTCTGCCGCGTGCGACTGTGGTCACCCAGAACAGAAACACGACTCAGTGCCTGATTCACAGTGCCTGATTCACAAACACGGAGGAGGAGACACCATCACAGGCATGATTCACCACTCCCCCTCTCCCGGACTCAATCATCAGGCTCATCGACCACCTCAATGTCAAATGACAACTGTTGCTCTCCATCAACATCAGCCATACTCAGAAGAAGAAAGAGATCTATGGAGTCACACTGAGACCCATAGACTCACATAGAGACCCATAGACTTGCAGCGATCTATAGATTCTCACTGAGACCCAAAGACTCACATAGAGACCCATAGACTTACACAGATATATAGATTCAGATACAAAACCATAAACTCACCCATAAACCCACATAGAGACCCATATACTCACACAGCGGTATCCTCCACTACTGACGCAATTATCCGGCTCAACGACTTCAAGGTAGAATTAAAGTGGTTGCGTTACTACAACATACGAAGAAGGCGATTGCATGGGAATGTTTTAGAAGGATTTATTTTCAAAATGTGAGTGAAAAGTAGGCTACAGGGCAAGGATTTGTAAACATGAGGGTGAAGGTGAAAACAAAGCCTCCCCGTGGAGAGAGGCAGAGGAGAAAATCAGTCAACAGAAACAAGGGAAGAGAATTCTCAACAGTACAGCCAGTGGTGGGGAGTTCAGAGCAGCGGAGGAGTGACCTCCCATTGAGCGGCGAAAGACTGAAGCCTTTAGTTGCTTGAGTGGGGACCATGTGAAGCGGAGTAGATTGAGATGAAAGTGGAGGAATGGGTCTGGGAGAGTCCACGGAGGATCTCGAAGATGGTGGCAGTGATATCACCGGAGCTCTGGTACGGGAGCAGCCCAGTAAACATCTAACATTGGCCCAACGTTGGCACGTTAACATGCGGCCCAACGTTGGCCCAACGTCTCACGTTTACTGGGAGGGCGTGGTTTTGCGTAGAACACGCCGTCGGAACGCAGCAACAGGAGCCTGCTGCTGCCACTTGCAGGTAAATACCGGTCGCTCCCAGTGGACTCCGTTACCTGTATCGATGTCTTTCAGACCAAAGCCACGGCCGCGGGTTCACCGACCACGGCTCAGCTGCTGTTGACCCCCACAAGCAGAGTGTCTGTGGAGACCAAGAGCGATTGCAGTCGCACGTCACCAGCAGCAGCAGTTGCTGCTGCGGCTGCTCGTGTTGCAAAACCACCACCAGCAGCAGCCGTCGCTGCTGCTTCGGGAGGTCGTCGTCGCCCCAGGTAGTGGTGACGTGGAGCGGCTGGGCGCAGCTGGATCCGAAGACCGGCACGGGAGCGGGCAGCATGCGGCGCGCGGATGGGACGAGACCCCACAGGTGAGCATATCTCGTCAACCTGTCACCCCATTGCCCTCATCCTCTTGAGACCCCTCTGCCTCCTTCACATCTCTCTGCAGAGCCACTGGAATGTAACATTTTGCATTGGTTTACCTAGGCCGGGGGGGGGGGGGGGGAGGGGGGGGGGGTCGGCATCCAAACATCCAAAATAACAAGGAGAGCCGTTATCATTTTTTGTTCTGACTCGGTACAAAACTGAACATTTAAAAGAGCCACAATGCCAATATGAGTACGTACTGTACGTACATGACGTCACGAAGCAGTCCCTAAAGAGCCACATGGGGCTCTGGAGCTGCAGGTTGCCGACCCCTGACCTAGGCGATATTTCGAGGCTGTCTGACGAGAGGGCGTTTCAATATCTGGGAGGCGGGCACCTTGTTCCAGTGCGTAATTCAATTGTAGAGTCTGGCGGCATTCTCATACCTGGCATCCCCCTTATTACAGACCAATTCAGACCTCATTGGTCACCTCCGTGGCCTTATAAATCTCAACGATCATCCTACAAAGTCCCATCACAAGGGAGAAACACAAACATACAGACATTCTAATAAAGTATTAAAGCTTTCGTGACTGCATAAAATTACTCATTGGTTTTTTCGGTAAAGTCACGTATGTAGAAATACAATAAAATTATATTAAAACAAAAAACAATCACGACGTTTCGATCACAACGCAAGCGATCTTCATCAGGTGTCAAGAACAAATCACGGAGGTAAATACGACAAAAAGATGAGAGACGAGAATTCAACAAACCTGAAAAAACATTATGTGAAGCACATCCAGTCAGGCCAACAACACAGACACTTCCTGGCGGAAGTGGCGGAAGTGTCTAACTGTGTTGTTTGCCTGACTGGATGTGACGGAAGTGTCTGTGTTGTTGGCCTGACTGGATGTGCTTCACATAATGTTTTTTCAGGTTTGTTGAATTCTCGTCTCTCATCTTTTTGTTGTATTTACCTCCGTGATTTGTTCTTGACACCTGATGAAGATCGCTTGCGTTGTGATCGAAACGTCGTGATTGTTTTTTGTTTTAATATAATTTTATTGTATTTATACATACGTGACTTTACCGAAAAAACCAATGAGTAATACAGAAATTCTGTCACTAAACATAAACTATTTTACGTATTAATTTTGGTCATTGGTGTCAATGATGCTACTTATCATGCTTACTGTCTGTGATCCTGAATGCTGATGCTGCTGCTTGCTTGATAAGTGGATGCACACACACACTCATGTTGTAAATGTACAACAATACTCTCCTATGATATTTTTTGCCCATATTGAAACGGTTGTACCCCATATGGACCTGATAACTGAATTTCCCTGAACAAGCATACGGGGCAAACCGTATGGCTTGACACGGTACGCATTCTCAATGCGCCGCTGCTTTGCCCTGCTAAAATTGAGCGTCCCACGTGGACATTGAAATTGCGCTCCCCATGACGTTTTTACGAAACTAAACTAGTTTTTCCTTTACCACGTAAAGGCCCCACTGAGCTACGTAGCTCTTTTTTAAGAAGCGACCGGGTCACAAATGATAGCTCAACGAAGTGGCTTATCATCACGTGGACATTTACAGCGGTAGTCAAATAACTTGTAAGTGCGTGTTTATGAATGTGGAGGGAAAAACTGGAGGACCTGGAGAATAATCCACACGACTACGGGGAGAACATGCAACTCCAAATATAAATAAATCAGGGTCGGGATCGAACCCACGACCTATATACCAGGCGAGGAAGTTAACATCTCGCCACTGTGGCACCCCGAGCTTGAACCACCCACGAAGATTGCACCTTACAACTGCATGGCTGGACACTGGTGCAACGCCAAAAACGTATCCACACCATGCTGGATGATGAATGGACATTGTTGGTCACACTTCGCCATGCCGGTGAGTGCACGGTTGCTGAATCGGGTGGCCCAGGACCGGTGTAGACATCACTCGCCACTTGATGCATTGCTGTGGCCAGGAATCGCACTCGGGTCGCCGGGTTCATAGCGCAGCGTGGTAACCGCTGTGCCGTGCCCTCCACGCCAGATACGCGGTACCTCGATCTCCTTGGGAGAGTCGCCAAAGTTCGGCGAGCGATTATTACCTGAGCGAGGTCGGGCGACCGCCTTCTCCGGCAATGGCCGCTGTCAAAAGCCCATCGCTCGTATCCGATTCTCCCCCGCAGACGGCCGGAAGCCGCCAGCGGTGGCAGCAGCAGGGCCGCGTCGCCCATGCAGCGCGGGGGCGCGGAGCCGGGCTGCCGCAAGGAGGCGGCGGACAGAGGCAGCGGCGCGGACACCGCCGCCGGGGGTGGCTGCAGCCGGCAGCGGAGGAGGTGGGAGAGCCGCGACGCCTGCTGTGCCCCGCCGGGACCGCAGTCGCCGGGAGGAGAGCACGTGGGGGGGCACGTGGGGGGGCACGTGGGGGGGCACGAGGGGGGGCACGAGGGGGGGCACGGGCCCCGGCACACAACCAAACAGCGTGCGTCGTCCATGCCCCGCAACCAGAACAAGGTGGGCAGAGGCGTGCGCGCGTGCGCGTGTGTGCGTGCGTGTGTACGCAAATATACAGATCCCCCGTATAGCCTTAACAGACTATAGAGGCAAGTGCTGTTAGCAGGTACCTATGAAGGCCGGCGCGGCACACGAGGGGGTGGGTGGTCAACACCACGCCCGGCCGCCTTTGTCTCCCCAGTGGCGATGTTTTTACACACCACACCAGGTACTCATTTGAGGCAAGAGTCGACACACATCCGTGTATGTGTGTTGAGTGGTGACACGGTGGCACGGTGGCCTGGTGGCCTGGTGTCTAGCACGCTGCGCTACAAACCCGGTGACCCGAGTTCGAATCCTGCTCACAACCAATTATAGTGATAGCGAATATGAAAACCCGGTCCTGATCCTCGATAGATCGACTCAGCCTTAAATGAGGACCTGGTGTGGTGTATAGTAAACATTGCCACAAGGGATACAAAGGTGGCCCAGCACGGTGCTGGCCACCCATCCCCTCGTGTGCCATGCCAGCTTTCATAGGTGCTCGCTAACAGCACCTGCCGGTAAGGGGATCTTTTTGTGTCCCAGCCTGCACGCCCGCCCCCCACACCACCGCTGGCTGAGAGCCGCGGCAGTGCATGCTCAGGATGCTGCTACTCGGTATGAGGAGGCACAGAGACGTGTGTGAGTTTCAGGCTGAATCCCACGCACATCTCCCCCCACCGTGGGATAAGCAGCCGCTGATTTAAGTTTCTCTCTCTGCCCTCCCGCTGCACTCTTCACAGGAGACAGTGGAGGATTCTGAGATCGTCAGGTGAGTCTATCGTTACATTTGTAATTCCACCAAGGATTAGTTTGGTACGCAACTGTAGCTAGGTTTTAGCAACTGAGTGATTGAATTAAATTCTGACGATGCTGGAGAAGGGTAAAACAAACTGCAATTTTTCACAAATATTTTGAGTATCTGATTATAACTTCGAAACAAATCTTTTTTTTTTTTTTACAAATTTTGGCCCACGTAATTATTGGCTTCACTCAGCCTAATTCTTTCTGAGTTACTTTAAGACTTGTGCTAAACAGTCTTAAATATATGTTCCCTTCCATAATTGGAGCAAGTTATTTTATATTGAGATATTGGAGTGGTGGGTATTTCAGCCTTTGAGCTGTCATCTGAACACTTTTGTGAAAATAAACTGTCCACCATGGTATTCTTGGTTCTTTTGGTAAAGTCACGTAGAAGGGAAATAATAAAATAATTAAAATAAAACAAAATTCTCACGACGTTTCGGCCACAACGCAAGCAGCCGTCCTCAGGTGAAGAACAGAGCTGCCGGAAAGACAGCGTCCTAATGAAAAAAAAGAAAATTGTCCACCATGGTTTAACCTTAACTACCATGCAGCAGCGTCATCTAACGATGGAGCATGTAAGAGAAGGTGTCATTGGCAACGCCAACACTGGATTCCCATCAGCTGGGCATGACATGTAAACGCCTATGTGGTTCCAGGATCCGTTACCGAAGCAGCTCTTACTTTTGAGGCTGTGCTGGTGGTGCCGTTAGCAGGGGAGGGGATGAGAGGGTGGAGGATAGAGGGAGTGAAATGAGAGAGGTGGGTGCGGAGGAGGAAAGGTTTGAGTTAGAGGAGGTGAGGCTAGCGGAGGGAAGTCCGTAGGTGACTGAACAATTTTGGTTTCATCTTGTGATGTTCACGGGTTTGCTGCTCGCAGATAATCTGAATTGTGGTGGCATCCAGAGCCCGCTCTGGTGGTTCGAGTCCAGTGGTGCAACGATGCATTGACTCTTAAGCTCGTGGTAAATACATTGAATCACACGTGTAATGCCCAAATCCGGGCACATCTGCGTCCAATGGGTGATGCTCGAGCGTTCAGTAGTCAGGTGCCTCGTTTGTGAGGGATGCTCAGTCAGTCGAGGTTTTTAGGGTTCGTGTGAAAACACGTTTATTTTCTCTTGCGTACCCGTCTGTGTCGGGTGGTTTTTCTCTCAGTTTTAATGTTAAGGGCTTTTACTGGGATTGTGTTGTCAAGCGGCGTGAGACCTTGTGTGAATGACGCGATACTAAACTGAGTTTTACTTACTTTGAATCAGAGACCCGAATTAAATTCATGGCTAACATCAGTGATCAGAGATCTCTGAACCGGGAACTGGGCGTCCCTCTTTACCGACTCGCGCTGACCCGCACGGAGAGCCATGGTCAAACAACCCCCACAGCCAACACAGCACCGGGGAGGGCTTCATCCGGTAGTGGATTGACAAGCGGCCGTGATTGGACGTTGGCGAGATGTTAACTACCTCGCCTGGTATACAGGAGTTCGTGGGTTCGATCCCGACTCCAACACCTGCTGTATATTTGGAGTTTGCATGTTCTCCACGTGTTTACATGGATTTTTCTCTCCACATTTAGATTAAACATGCGTTTAGAGAATTTGGCTGCTATAAATTTCCACATGATAAGCCCACTTCGTTGTGGCCAGATTGCTTCTGAAAAAGAGTTATACAGCTCAGTGGGCCTCACCTGGTTTTAAGCTTAGTTTAGATTGGACATTGTTGGTCATGTGCTGACATAACCCCTCCACTCGCTAGAGGCCACTGTTGTCACACGTTGACCCAGGTCATCATTACAAAAAAAAACTAAGTAATTGAATAAGGTGAATAAAATTCACAATATTTAAAAACATTACACCGTGACCCTGATTCATAACAGCTCATTAAGTCACGAGGGAGTTAAATGTTTTTTATCCAATGATAACGTAGGAGTTGGAGCCGATCAACATCTGACGATAATTCATATAATTTCCAGTAAAAAAAAAACAAATCCCACAGCATGTTATGGCTCAAACGAGTATGGGAAAGAGCTCTTGAGCCATTTGGTGGAAATTCCACATTCCTAAAGCAGGGGCGAGCCAATCCCTCCAAAAACGACTGGTGAACTTTCCACAAAGTGGTATTCCACTCGTCGTTACCGTAGGGGATGATCATGGGGTGCGTTGACCCCTGGCTGGATATTGAGCTCTGGCCTGTACACGCGAGTCGCAGCATTTCGTCACAGTGCGTGCCCGGTGGATCGTTTGTCAATGGGTTTCTGGGTCATTTATCCACACTTGGAATAGAGATAGGCAATGACATTGGCACAAATTAGGTTTGCGCTTGCCAATTGTAACGTCAACGGGGGGTGGCTCTTTAACAGCCCCTTTGGAGACCGTGGTAGCATTGTGAGGCCTGGCCCGTTTGTTTGCGGTCAGAATGAATGACCTTAACGGGCAAAAAGTTAATTTGCACAAATTGATTAGACTCTCGGCCCCTCGGGAAAGCTGCTAATGACAAAACAAAAATCAGGGCTAAAAAAATCTGTGGAAGCCACTCAGGGGTGGTAAACACCACCCATCACTTTCCTTCATGAAACTGACCACTTCGCCGTTAGTTAACCGCACCCCTACTGAGAACCTTCGGGCCTGGTTCATGTCACTTCGCTCACAAAACAGAGTTATGGTCAGGGGTTAAGTGAGCCTGTCGACGTTTCTCTAGGATTGGTAAAATGAGTAACAGTGAGAAGTTAAACAACGGTCGTGTTTAGGAAGCGACTTTTCTCTGCCATAGCACTGCATCTATGTGTATGCACGTGTCTCTCTGCACTAGGGCACTGTGCTAGCACTGTGTGTCTCTCTACACTAGGGCACTGTGGTAGTACTGTGTGTCTCTACACTAGGGCGCTGTGGTAGTACTGTGTGTGTCTCTGCACTAGGGCTCTGTGCTAGAACTGTGTGTGTCTCTGGACTAGGGCACTGTGCTAGCACTGTGTGTCTCTACACTAGGGCACTGTGCTAGCACTGTGTGTGTCTCTGCACTAGGGCACTGTGTTAGCACTGTGTGTCTCTACACTAGGGCTCTGTGCTAGCACTGTGTCTCTACACTAGGGCTCTGTGCTAGCACTGTGTGTCTCTGCACTAGGACACTGTGCTAGCACTGTGTGTCTCTCTGCACTAGGCACTGTGTTAGCACTGTGTGTGTCTCTGCACTAGGGCTCTGTGCTAACACTGTGTGTCTCTACACTAGGTCTCTGTGCTAGCACTGTGTCTCTGCACTAGGGCACTGTGCTAGCACTGTGTGTCTGCACTAGGGCACTGTGCTAGCACTGTGTGTGTCTCTCTGCACTAGGGCACTGTGTTAGCACTGTGTGTGTCTCTCTGCACTAGGGCACTGTGCTAGCACTGTGTCTCTGCACTAGTGTTAGCACTGTGTGTGTCTCTACACTAGGCACTGTGCTAGCACTGTGTGTGTCTCTGCACTAGGGCACTGTGGTAGCACTGTGTGTGTCTGCACTAGGGCTCTGTGGTAGTACTGTGTGTGTCTCTACACTAGGGCACTGTGTTAGCACTGTGTCTCTCTACACTAGGGCTCTGTGCTAGCACTGTGTGTCTCTCTACACTAGGGCACTGTGGTAGTACTGTGTGTGTCTCTACACTAGGGCACTGTGCTAGCACTGTGTGTGTCTCTACACTAGGGCACTGTGCTAGCACTGTGTGTCTCTACACTAGGGCTCTGTGCTAGCACTGTGTGTCTCTCTACACTAGGGCTCTGTGTTAGCACTGTGTGTCTCTACACTAGGGCTCTGTGCTAGCACTGTGTCTCTGGACTAGGGCACTGTGTTAGCACTGTGTGTCTCTCTACACTAGGGTACTGTGTTAGAACTGTGTGTGTCTCTGCACTAGGGTACTGTGGTAGTACTGTGTGTCTCTCTACACTAGGTCTCTGTGCTAGCACTGTGTCTCTGCACTAGGGCACTGTGCTAGCACTGTGTGTCTGCACTAGGGCACTGTGCTAGCACTGTGTGTGTCTCTCTGCACTAGGGCACTGTGTTAGCACTGTGTGTGTCTCTCTGCACTAGGGCACTGTGCTAGCACTGTGTCTCTGCACTAGTGTTAGCACTGTGTGTGTCTCTACACTAGGCACTGTGCTAGCACTGTGTGTGTCTCTGCACTAGGGCACTGTGGTAGCACTGTGTGTGTCTGCACTAGGGCTCTGTGGTAGTACTGTGTGTGTCTCTACACTAGGGCACTGTGTTAGCACTGTGTCTCTCTACACTAGGGCTCTGTGCTAGCACTGTGTGTCTCTCTACACTAGGGCACTGTGGTAGTACTGTGTGTGTCTCTACACTAGGGCACTGTGCTAGCACTGTGTGTGTCTCTACACTAGGGCACTGTGCTAGCACTGTGTGTCTCTACACTAGGGCTCTGTGCTAGCACTGTGTGTCTCTCTACACTAGGGCTCTGTGTTAGCACTGTGTGTCTCTACACTAGGGCTCTGTGCTAGCACTGTGTCTCTGGACTAGGGCACTGTGTTAGCACTGTGTCTCTCTACACTAGGGCTCTGTGCTAGCACTGTGTGTCTCTCTACACTAGGGCACTGTGGTAGTACTGTGTGTGTCTCTACACTAGGGCACTGTGCTAGCACTGTGTATGTCTCTACACTAGGGCACTGTGCTAGCACTGTGTGTCTCTACACTAGGGCTCTGTGCTAGCACTGTGTGTCTCTCTACACTAGGGCTCTGTGTTAGCACTGTGTGTCTCTACACTAGGGCTCTGTGCTAGCACTGTGTCTCTGGACTAGGGCACTGTGTTAGCACTGTGTGTCTCTCTACACTAGGGTACTGTGTTAGAACTGTGTGTGTCTCTGCACTAGGGTACTGTGGTAGTACTGTGTGTCTCTCTACACTAGGTCTCTGTGCTAGCACTGTGTCTCTGCACTAGGGCACTGTGCTAGCACTGTGTGTCTGCACTAGGGCACTGTGCTAGCACTG